GCATCCCTGCAGGCGCTACTTCATCGAAGCTGGTTTGCGCTCTGCCGGATGCGCTTTTATACTTTCTGGTGCTTACGTCACCCAGCTCGTGACGTCTCGCTTCTCCATTGGGCTGATTTGACACGTGCTTCAGAATGCGGTCACGCAGAGGCGTTCCCAAAGCGATCTCGACGCAGCGTCTCGTTCCCTCGGGGAACCATGGTTACATATGTAACCTAGAGACGTTTTAGTCATGTGTCTTGTTTCTTATTGGTTGGATTGTGTCATGTGACCCGTTTTGTTTGATATATATAGCCCTCATGTTGCCATTGTCTCTTGTCTAGCTTTGTTCGTGTGACCACTGCTAGGTGAGTTTGTTCATGCCAAGTCTAGTCTCTGTTCATCTTGCTTTTGTTTATGTTTTTAGATTTCATTAAAACTGCACATGGGTTCTACTTCAACTTGCCTCAGTGGATTAATTACATATATCCTAAAATCCAATCCTGTTCGACTGATATGCTGCAGATTGGATGATTTTAGGTTAAGTCAGTGATGTCCTCTGTCTGGAGGGAATAGCATTATGGCTGATCGAACACTGCCGGTGGCTTCTGATGGCAGTTTAGAATTGTATCAGCAATGCAATCATATAGATCAGTGGATCCAACCCATATCTAGAACCAGACAAGAGATTTATGAATACTCATCCTAGCAATCACACAGAACACCCTAGCAATAGCAAAGCAAATCCGCCAACAAACACAACTCCAAGCATCCTAGTGTCATGGGTGCAACATTTGCATTGAGAAATACCACAAAAATCTAGTTTCTTCAAAAAATGTCACCTTGTGTTTTCTATATTTTCAGACTATTTTTAATCAGTTAATTTTTCCTCTGTTCTGTAGATGGTGTGATTCTGGAGTGTCCTGTTCATCCTGTGACTGAAGGAGATAATCTGACTCTACGCTGTTTACATCAACATTCAACCCCACTAAACCCCAGAGCTGATTTCTATAAAGATAAATCACTCATCCAGAAACAAACTACAGAGATGATCATCTCTAATGTCTCAAAGTCACATGAGGGTTTCTACTACTGCAAACACTCAGAGAGAGGAGAGTCTCCCAAGAGCTGGATCTCAGTTACAGGTGAGAGTCAACTGAATGCTGTTGTACCTGTGAGCTGATTTGTTTGTTTTTGTTTTTACCTAAGAAGATATTTTGAAGAATATTTTAATTTTTCTTGCCCAAATATTAAAAGTCAATGGGGTTCAGAACAACACTGGACTGCACTGATTTTCATTGTATGGAAACTGAGAAATATGGAACAACATGAGGGTGAGTAAATGATGACAGAAACATATGTCTCAATGATTTTTTTGTCAGTTCTCCCCAAACCAACTGTGACTGTTGAGCCACAGAGTTCATTATTCACTGGAGATTCAGTTACTCTGAGATGTGAGGTGGATCGGTCATGGGACGAATGGGAGTTTATCTGGATAAAAGATATGAATACTGAATCTACTGAAGCTGTAAATAAAACAATCGATTCAGTGAAAGTCTCTGATGGAGGAGAGTACAGGTGCAGAGCACGAAGAGGAGGACATTACACAGATTACAGTGAACCAGTAACAGTGACAATATACGGCAAGTATTTTACTCGCATAGTAAACTGCTCTCAGAACACAATGAAAATGATTCATAAGACACTGATTATGTGACTATAACAGCTAGAGAACAACACTACAGTCTAACTTGATTTAGTATGTTACTGTGTTCATACAGTAAAAACAGCAGATTATTTTCATTCTAAATTGTTGTCATTGCACAGAAAGACCAAAAGCCAAAGTCACCATTAAACCTGATCAACGTGTATTCAGAGGAGAGACAGTCACTCTCAGATGTGACATTGATGGTGAAGGAGTCACTGGCTGGCAGTACAGCTGGTATAAAGACAGTTCAGCTAATGCTTTCAGTGATCAACAGGAACACACATTCAGGTCTGTTACTGAGTCTGACGCAGGTAAATACTCCTGTTATGGAGCAGAGAGAGTAGGATCATGCAGATCACAGCACAGTGATGAAGTTACACTGACAGTATCAGGTGAGTTTGATCATCTCTTTATATACAGTGTATACAGTATATAGTTTATATACACATGGTATGTAAAAAATAATTTAAAAACATCTTGTTTTTATAATGTCACCATGGTTTTTATATTCTTTGACTATTTGCAATCGACTTATGTTTCCTCTATTTCTGTAGTTGGTGTGATTCTGGAGAGTCCTGTTCATCCTGTGACTGAAGGAGATACTCTGACTCTACGCTGTTTGCATCAAAATACAAGCTCAGTTCTCAGAGCTGATTTCTATAAAGATGAATCACTCATCCAGAATCAGCTCAGTTCTCAGAGCTTATTTCTATAAAGATGAATCACTCATCCAGAATCAAACTACAGAGATGATCATCTTTAATGTCTCAAAGTCACATGAGGGTTTCTACTACTGCAAACACCCAGAGAGAGGAGAGTCACCCAAGAGCTGGATCTCTGTCAGAGGTGAGAGTCAATAGAAACTGTGAGCTGATTTATTTCTTTTTATACTCTCGTTCAGATATAGTACATGATAAAGTGCTTGTGTGTCTGTTTTTCAGTGTCTCATTCAGAATATCCGATCTCTGTCCTCCACACACTCAGTTCTGTACTGGCAGTTTGTCCATATCTGCTAGTGACAGTTGTGCTGATTTTCAAATGCTGCAGGATGAGAGGTAAATGTCTGTCTAATTGATTACATTATATTCATTATATTCAGTTAAGCATCAAATTGGTCATTATTATCATTAATACTGTGTAGCTGTCATCCTTTACTAAAGCTGCTTTGAAACAACATGTATTGTGAAAATTGCTGAAATACAAATCAGTTGAATTGAATCTCTCACTCCTCCTGTTTATCCTTTACTCGACAAATACACATATTTCCTTACTGACAAAGTTTTTTTGTTTTTTTTGTTTTTTGGTTGTTAGTTTTGTATTTTCTAGTCATATTTGTTTAAATATAGTTAAAAGATTATGGTAGGTATTTCATAAAAACAAATATAGAGAGAGAAAAAACATACATACCTGTTAGGGCTGGACAATAATTCAATATCAATATATATCGTGATATAATTTTTTTAACGGTGATATGATTTTTAAACACATTTCTGTATTTTTCTATATATTTATTTCAATTTACATTGATACATTGATGGTTTCACATACATTGTTTATGAGCGCAGCACTGCTTTGTTTACAGCCGTTACCGGGGAAACCACGGGTTCTGTCGCTCCAAAAGCACCTCCTGCTGTCAGAGAATGAATGTGCATTTTCAATCAGCCCATCTTCAGCAACATGTGTTCCCCTTCAGGAACTTGAGCTGTGTCGAACACTTTGGGAATGCCTTCAGCGAGACCATGCTCTGAAAGATGTGTGTAATCAGTCCAACAAAATGGGCACAACATCATGGACGGGGTGACATAGTGACCAGGAAGCTATAAAAGCACTTGCGGTGGAAACAGCGGCAGCTTCTGTCATTCAGCAAAGAGCTCTGTGTGTGTATGTCTTATTTAACGTTGTCTGTTACTATCCAGAACAATAAAGCCATGCCAAAGGCTAAGTCTAAGTCCAAGGGGGGTTATAAAAGTGAACATCAGTTTAGGCTGTGTGTTCCTCCCTGCCCTCGTTACATCACAGGCGGGGATACACACAGCCTTTGCATTGTTTGTGTAGCCGGTTCAGCCCTTCACGGCTCGACTACCGGTTAAAACTACACTTTTGCAGGTTAAAACAGCTTTAAACTCAGTTCTAAGAAAAAGGTAACATATTCATGTAACTCATTTGCACATCATAACAAAACACTGATCAAGTAATTGGTGATGATTTCCCTTTGAACACTCTTCTGAACAAGACTGAACAAAATGCATACCTTGCTCTGCTCAGACCTCCCGCGGACTGAAGCAAAAGCGCGCAGCACGCCAGTGACGTCACAACGGCGACGCGCACGGAACTCGTAAAGAACTAAAATAAATCTTTTTCTTTTCTTTTCTCACATATATATATATATATATATATATATACATTATTTACCAACAGAAAAACATAAGGATTTTGAGTGAATTTACAATAAACCAATTTATAATCAACACCTGCTACATTTGCTTGGGGGTGAAGCACGCCGAGTCAGCTCTTGAGGGAGTGCCCGCATTGTGAGCGCCTCTCGCTGCGGACGCTTCGCTCCCAGAGGGCTCTCTTTGAGGAGGGAGCCCTCGCCAGCATTCCTCATGGCGGCGGCGGTGGTCGTGGGGATCGCAGTTGGATCTGGTGGAGGGAATGGAGATGGGCGAGTCCTTTTCTTCTTCCTCTGCCACCGGATCCAGCGCCACCTCCCAAGGCTCGGAAGCACGCTCTGAGGGAGTGGTTTCTTCCCCCCAGGGAGAGGGCGCGCCGCTCAGACTGTCGTCATCCGAGGAGGGCGGTGGCGAGAGCACCGATGAACCACCTCAGTCCACCCAGTATGAGGAGCTGGTGGAGGTGATAACTCGTGCTGTGGCCAAGTTAAATCTAGACTGGCCTGCCGAGAAGCAGGCTGAACCAACTAAAAGCAAACTAGATGAACGCTTTTCTAAGATCTAAACCGTTTCCTCCACGCCGGGGCTTGCCGTTTTTCCCCGATCTCCACACCGATGTTTCGAGATCGTGGTTGCGGCCCGCCTCTTTTACTCGCGATTACAGCAATGTTACGGGACTAAATGAGTGCGGTTATAGGGCAATGCCCGGGGTTGAGCTGTCTCCCGGCGTGGCATCGTCCTTGAAAGCCCCGGCAATGCCCACCAAGCCGCTTCGTACTAAATCAGCGCTGGTGGGCAAAGGGCACATGGCAGCAGGTCAGGCTGGGGCTTGCCTTCACACTATGGCAGTTCTACAAGCCTACCAAGCGGACCTGCTGAAAGAGCTAGATGAGGGCGAAGAAGTGAAAGCTGAAGATATCAAAGAGCTTCGCAGAACTGCTGATTTGTCTCTCCACGCCACAAAAGAGCCTGCCAAAGCAATCGGGCGGTCTATGGCACCCTTAGTGGCTGCGGAGAGGCATCTTTGGTTGACCCTGTCAGAAATAAAAGAGAAAGACGATGCCCCGCTTGCGCCTTGTGGCCTGCTCGGTGACGCCGTCAACTCCATCATCGACAGGTTTCAGGAGGCCCGTAAACAAGCATTTCAGCGGTTCTTGCTTCACCGCTCTCTAGCTCATGGGGCTGCTGGATGGGAGCAGCCCCAACTGTGTGCCCACTCCTCATACAGAGAGGCGCAAAAGCTGAGCGTCGCGACCCGTACTCCCCTACGCAGGGATCGGGGATCACGAAAAGAGCCTCACGGTCAAAGGCTTCGAAGCCGAAGGGCGATCTGAGGACCGTTCTTTTCGCTAAGAAGTCTTCGACCAAATAGCCCTGATGTTTGTGTTCCAGGGCTTCTTAGGGCATCCCCCACTGGGGAAGAGTGGTGTACACCTCATTACACGGTGCCCATCTCTCCTCAGTGCCCTCAGGAGGCCAAGCTGTTAACCCTCCCATCGCCGGTGCTTCAGGGCACAGCGGTCTCCAGCGAGCGCACATCTCAGTGTCCGCCTGGAAACGTAGCAGCTCTGGGAGGCTCGCTACCTCTGAGGAGGTCTCCCATTACACCAGAGGTCAGTCTCGAGAGACTGATTCTCTTAGTATATGTTCTGGCAGCGAGGAAGCTTCTGCCAAATGTCTCAAAATGGGTCCTGCAGACTGTAGAAAGAGGTTACAGAATTCAGTTTGGTTCTCCTCCGCCTCGTTTCAACGGGATCGTTTCCACTGTGGTGGGTCCCGAGCAGGCTCCGGTGTTAGAACGAGAAGTAAACACTCTCTTGAGGGAGGAGGCCATCAAGGTGGTCCCTCATCTTGACAGAGAGTCTGGGTTCTACAGCTGGTACTTCATTGTTCCAAAGAAGGATGGGGGGTTGCGTCCCATTTTAGATTTGAGTCAGTTGCACCGCTCAGTCATGCGATTGAAGTTCAGGATGCTAACACTCAAGCAAGTGGTGTGTCAGATCAGGTCCGAGGACTGGTTTGTCACAATCAATCTAAAAGATGCATACTTCCATGTCTCCATCCTTCCTCAAGACAGGAAGTTCCTGAGGTTTGCTTTCGGGGGTGAAGCTTACCAATATCGGGTTCTTCCATTCAGCCTTGCATTCTCACCCCGAACTTTCACAAAGTGTGTGGATGCTGATCTGGCTCCACTGCGACTCCAAGGCATCCGAATACTCAATTATATCGATGATTGTTTGATTCTGGCTCAATCAGAGCAGACAGTGTTTCAACATCGAGATTTAGTTCTCGCCTATATGAAAGAGTTGGGGTTAAGGCTAAACGTCAAGAAAAATTTGCTTTCTCCATCACAGAGGACCACTTATCTGGGCGTGGTGTGGGATTCGACCACAATGCAGGCATAGCTGTCTCCTGCTCGGATCGAGTCGATCCTCACTGCAGTCGTGAGAGTCAAAGAAGGCCGGTCACTCACTGTCAAGCAGTTTCAAAAACTGTTGGGTCTGATGGCAGCTGCGTCCAACGTGATACCTTTTGGCCTGCTGTACATGAGACCCCTACAGTGGTGGCTCAAGACCAAGGAGTTTTCCCCGAGTGGAAATCCGCTTTGCATGATCAAGGTCATGCGGCGATGCTTTCGTGCCTTAGACATGTGGAGGAAACCCTGGTTCTTGTCACAGGGCCCGGTGCTGGGAGTTCCTTGTCGTTACGTAACGTTAACGACAAATGCATCCCTCACAGGTTGGGGTGTGGTCATGAGTGGCCACCCTGTCCGCAGCCTGTGGAGCAGCCGCCATCTCACGTGGCACATCAATTGCCTGGAAATGTTGGCTGTGTTTCAAGCACTCAAACACTTTCTCCCAGACCTGAGAGACCACCATGTGTTGGTGTGCACCGACAACACAGCAGTGGTCTTGTACATCAACCACCAGGGAGGTCTGCGTTTGCGTCTCTTGTACAAGCTGGTGTACCAGATCCTTGTGTGGGCCCAAGGGAAACTCCTTTCACTGAGAGCAGTTCACATCCCTGGGCATCTCAATCAGGCAGCAGACAACCTGTCGAGACAGGGCCGAGGCCCGGGGAATGGAGACTCCACCCAGATGTGGTGTGTCATATTTGGAGAATGTTTGGCCAGGCTCAGGTGGATCTGTTTGTGACTCAGGAGACATCGCACTGTCCCCTCTGGTTCTCTCTGACTCATCCAGCTCCTCTCGGACTGGACGCCATGGTACAGACTTGGCCGAGGCTTCGTCTGTATGCCTTCCCCCTGATTGCTCTGCTCCCGGGAGTTCTGGAGAGAGTGCGCCAGGACGGGTCCGTCTTC